TAAATGCATGAAAATTAACTCAACAATTTATTGTGGATTTGTATTAAAAAATGGAGGCCAGTCGGATAAATTTCATCAAAGCAAACCAATCTAAGTTGAGAGTTGAAAAATATAGTGGTTTGGTAGATTATCTCAAATCTAGATCTGAAAATGACAATGTGCCGATTGGTAAAATGATAATACTTCCATCATCTTTTGAGGGTAGTCCCAGAAATATGCAGCAGCAATATCAGGATGCTATGGCAATTATAACGAAGTATGGCAAGCCCTATTTATTCGTAACCATGACATGCAACCCCAAATGAGCAGATACTGCAAACAATTTACAACGCTGGCAAAAAGTTGAAAACAGACTTAACTTGGTAGCCAGAGTTTTTAATACTAAGTTGAATGCTCTTTTAACTGATATCTGTAAATTCCATTTATTTGGCAAAGAAATAGCCAAAATTCATGTCATTGAATTTCAGAAATGTGAACTGCCTCACGCTCACATATTATTGATATTAGATAGTGAGTCCAAATTACGTTCCTCTAATTCTCTTTCAATGTGCACGAATTTTGTGCACCGGGCCACTAGTCTTTTATAAGAAGCAGACATTTACTAGACCTGTGATAGGGCCCAAGGAGGATGTTTGTGCAAAACATTTTTTTCTCCAGTATAAACAGGCTTATTTGGAACTTAGTCCCTTAAAGGAGGAAGTGGCTTAAATCCCATGGATGTTGGATTCAACCGAGAAAGTGAAAAGGCCCGGCACCTGGGAAACGGGCCGTTTAAATGTTCCCAGGGCCTGTGCCACCAGGCCACGTGCTGGCTCCGCACCAGGGGCTTCATCACAGCCCGTTCCCGCTGCATCTCGTTTGGTGGGTTAAAGGGCTGCGGCCAGTTCCCGGGCTGGGGGCTGTGCCGGGCTGGGGGCTGTGCCGGGCTGGGGGGCTGTGCCGGGCTGGGGGCTGTGCCGGGCTGGGGGGCTGTGCCGGGCTGGGGGCTGTGCCGGGCTGGGGGGCTGTGCCGGGCTGGGGGCTGTGCCGGGCTGGGGGGCTGTGCCGGGCTGGGGGCTGTGCCGGGCTGGGGGGCTGTGCCGGGCTGGGGGCTGTGCCGGGCTGGGGGGCTGTGCCGGGCTGGGGGCTGTGCCGGGCTGGGGGGCTGTGCCGGGCTGGGGGCTGTGCCGGGCTGGGGGGCTGTGCCGGGCTGGGGGCTGTGCCGGGCTGGGGGGCTGTGCCGGGCTGGGGGCTGTGCCGGGCTGGGGGGCTGTGCCGGGCTGGGGGCTGTGCCGGGCTGGGGGGCTGTGCCGGGCTGGGGGCTGTGCCGGGCTGGGGGGCTGTGCCGGGCTGGGGGCTGTGCCGGGCTGGGGGGCTGTGCCGGGCTGGGGGCTGTGCCGGGCTGGGGGGCTGTGCCGGGCTGGGGGCTGTGCCGGGCTGGGGGGCTGTGCCGGGCTGGGGGCTGTGCCGGGCTGGGGGGCTGTGCCGGGCTGGGGGCTGTGCCGGGCTGGGGGGCTGTGCCGGGCTGGGGGCTGTGCCGGGCTGGGGGGCTGTGCCGGGCTGGGGGCTGTGCCGGGCTGGGGGGCTGTGCCGGGCTGGCCCCCCACTTACATTTTTATCATTTCAAAAGAAACCCTATATCCATTAACAGTCACTTTCCATTTTTTTCCCAACCTCCCTATCCCTAGTCAATCTCCCCAAATTTTTACGATGTTCTGAAATATTTTAAGATTATTCATACTTGGGGACAACCATAGAGCTTTAAGAAGCAGCAGTATTCTGAATTTGTGCAGCATATTCATGAGTATTTTATAGTTCTTTTTTTTCTCTTTTAAATACTGTAGAATAGTTTTTAAGAGTCATTTTAGGTTCACAGCAAAACTGAGCAGAATGTACAGAGATTTCTCATATACCTCTTCTTCCACCTATCTACAGCCTCCTTTACTAGCAACATCCTGCACCAGAGTGGTGCATTGGGGGCTGTGCCGGGCTGGGGGCTGTGCCTGGAGGGAGCCCGCAGTGAGGGGCCTGATGGAACTTTTAGTGGTGAGTATATTATCCAGCCTGGCGATGGTTCCAACGCTGTGCATTTGTTAAAACTCATCCAGTTGTACTTACTGTATGTAAGTTATACCGTAATAAACCTGACATTTAAATAAAGAATGAAATCTTGCCATTTTCAACAACATGGATAGACCTAGAGGGTATTATGCTAAGTGAAATAAAGTCAGACAGAGAAAGATACCACATGATTTCATTTCTATGTGGAATCCAAAATCAAAATGAATGAACAAACCAAACAAACTCATAGTCACAGAGAGCAGATGGCTGGCTGGGGGATGGGTGGCGGGGGGGGGGGG